CCCCACTGTTGAGAAGGGAAGCAAGCGTGAGAGCAGGCCGAAGGGCAGAATTAGTAGCTAACCTCAAAAGCCTACTAGGAGGACTAGAGAGGTAGTTCAGAGGCATAAGCACCCACCTGCAAGCACAACGACCCATGTTCGATCCCTTTCACGTGGGTGAATGCCCACGTGGACAGTTGTGCCTTTTGCCTTTTCCCGCTGCACCCGTTCAGTGTAGATGACATTGGTCTCTTTGGGCAGAAGACGGGTCAGGCTGCTGGATTCTCTTACACTGATGCCAACAAGAACAAAGGCATAACCTAGGGAGAGGATGCACTGATGGAGTGTGGAGGACCACCTGGCAACACTCCTTGAAGGAAGAGCACATGTCTCCATTTTGGCTGTGCCTGACCCTATTTCCATGCACTGGTAGATATAGAGCTAGCTAGGATTTTTCCTTATTCCTTCAATTGGCTTTAAGCACTCCATATTGGTCTATCCGAGGAGCTGATGGTAGTCTCTGAAGATGGCACACGTGTTTCCCTGATAACCCACACTTGCTGCTCTTTAACACGAGCCAGGTCAAGACAGGATGAAGAGCCAGTGCTCCATGTTGTCCACTGGGATTGAGCCTTGAGATAGAGGCTATGACTTCCCGGGGCTTGAAAGAGTACACATCAGAGTGGAAGCACTGGACCCCAAAACATTAGATACTATCTGACTAGTATAATGCAAATTACTTTTTCTGCATATCCTGCTCTCTGCATATGACAGAAGTAAATGTAGGCCTCCTACCTAGCTCAGCTCACAGTACTCACCTACTTCCCACAACTCTCAGTCATCCTCAAGCCATGCCTCCTTCACGACTGAATAAAACCCTCATTCGGTCCTTCTGTCATGGAAAGCCATCTTCATGGCTGAACTTAGGGCCCCTTGGCTCCTCATAATTATAAATATGCTTTAGTGTCTTTATTTTCACCCTGAGTTGCACTTGAAGTGGTAGACTGGAATGAATTTGGTGGGATTCCGATAATGTATTTTTGGGATTTCAAATACAGACTTCTTGGACCAAGACGAGGACTAGGAGGCACTTCCTACAATAGAGTATTTAGAGAATCTCAAGAAGTATGTCCCTGGAACTAACAATGACCTTTGCTGGCATCAAGAAGGGAGAAAGGGCAGAATTAGTAGCTAACCTCAAAAAGTCTACTAGGAGGTGGTGACCTGGCGCGGCGGTCTCGGCGCCAGGCTGCAGAGCGCGAGGTCGCCCCCGTCCCGACTCTTTCTCTTTGGGCTGGGGAGATGGCTCAGTA